CTCGCCCTAGACCTGGCCCAGAATTCAGAAATCACAGTGTTCTGTATTCCGCCGAACAGCAGCATGCCTTTCGCCTGATATCCCGCGTTTCCATACTCTATTGGTCAATGCTGGATTCATAGGCTGTGAACGGAATCTTTTGAGCGAAATAAAACGGTTGCGAACGGCCGACCGTGTGCATACGTACCGTATAAGTTCGAAAAATCCTCGTTTATCGCTTCATTAACTGCAAAACCCATTCAAAACAAAGAATAATGACTTAGAGCCGTCATAAAGAAACTTTATAAACCTCACCTGATCTTGGCAAGTATATCCTGGGTAGAGACCGCAAGACGTTACACCAGGCGGGTACCGTCTGCGCTAGCTGACATACACAGAGGCCTACACAACATTTTCTTTCATAAAGAATCCTCGGGATTAAGCAAGGTTCTACCAAAGCTACACACACGCGTTTCGCTCAGTCTTCACCTTCCTCTACTGCATAGTACTTTGTAAACAGGGAGGGGTAGGGGGCAAAAAAATTCATTTCCTCTCACATTCGGAACGTAATTAATTTACTGCAATTGTAAAACAAGACCAAATGTGCCCAACTCATATTAAAGAGCACATTCTGTTCTATCAAAATATTACATAATAGCTTTCTACACCGTTGACATAAGAAGATTTCCCATTATTTGAAAACATGTTCACGGTACGAGCTCAACGAGGTCGCCGAGGTAACATAGACCATTACGACGTCCCCGAAACGCTGGTCAAAAGCGGTTTTGCACAGACAGTTAGTCTCCATTAGAAGTTATTCAACAGTAAATTGATTGAAGAAGTTGTGTAGCAGCTTCAAGCTGGAGCGATTACGGTAGGCCTCGTTAAGCTCAACAGGACGGCAGATGCCGTCGTATTCAGAAGACGGTGGGGCAGTGAAGGAGGGCCTGTTTCTGCTTATGGGGAGAGACCTTAGAAATTCCCCGCCGTAAAACATTCACCAACAACGGCATTCCGTGCGACGAGAAATTTGATGATGTGCGCTATGGGCGGAATGGCTCTTCTTTCTGCTCTCCCCCCCCCCGTATACAAAATAGCTCCACAAGTTGCCCTCGCAAAAGTAACCATAAACACATGCTGAAGGTGTGCAGGGAAAGATATCGGCTGCTACCAGGAAAATGCCAATCTGTTCCGAAAAGGGTGATCCAGTAATGACATGCGCAGTTTATCACTTTACAGAATTCAGTCGCACCGTTTAACCAGAAAAGCCACCTTTCTCATAGGATCAGCTTTTTCAAAATCTTCATAAAAAGGAAGCTTATGAAATGCTGCCTCACCGTAGTTTGGTCCAGCTATGCCGACGAAAGTGTCAATTTTGGCTGTGAGAGGTGCACCAAGTGTACAGTTTCCATCAGTTCCTACCAGAGAACCTCCTTTGAGAGCTTTTCTGAAATTTAATGTTAGTTGTCTATTTCTTTCTGTCTATTGCTATGGTTTCGGTCTCTCTTCAATAGAATATTAATCGTAGTCTAACGGAAACCTTTGAAATTACCTGGCTAGAACGACGCCGACTGAGTGAGCAATGACGTCGACTTTTTTGGCACCGGTGTATTGTATCACAGCTTCGATGAACCTTCAACTAAGGATTTTATGAATACTCGAATTGATAACATCATTGATTTCGCTGAAATTTTGATGTTTTCGGGGAACGAGCTCCCGCAAAACGCCCCCTCCCCCTTCCTTCGGCCCCCGAGTGAGTAGTTTCAATCACTTTACAAAAAAGGCTTACACGAAAACAGTCCACCGTTACTAACAAGGAAAGGATGGTAGGTCGAAGTGGCCGTTCGAAATGAATGTATACCACCTGATGCGTCTCCAGACGCTGATTCCAAATCTGCCTTCCAAATCTGCTAAACGACTCTCCGAACGGAGTTATGAAGCGTAATAGCTCAGTGGTGATGGTCCGGGGTGGCAGGTAAAAGCTCGTAGGATCGGTTCCTTTGCAAGTTTGTTGCTTTGCTTTTGTCCGCAACACTTCTAGAGACAAAAGCAAAGCAACAAACTTGCAAAGGAACCGATCCTACGAGCTTTTACCTGCCACCCCGGACCATCACCACTGAGCTATTACGCTTCATAACTCCGTTCGGAGAGTCGTTTAGCAGATTTGGAAGGCAGATTTGGAATCAGCGTCTGGAGACGCATCAGGAGGTATACATTTCATTTCGAACGGCCACTTCGACCTACCATCCTTCCCTTGTAAGCTGGATTTCTCAGTAGATTGAACGATATAAAATTCCAAGGGAATTCAGTAGTTCCCAACGCCTACTTTCTTGGAGGTACCATGTCTTCTCACTGAAGCTACTCATTTCGAAGTGCTTCTATTCTATACGACACTTTCTACTGACAAGGGAAGGATGGTAGTTTGAAGTGGCTATGAAAGAGATCCAAAACGAGGTGTATACCACTGATGCGTCTCCAACCAAATCTGCCTTCCAAATCTGCTAAACGATTCTCCGAACGGAGTTATGAAGCGTAATAGCTCAGTGGTGATGGTCCGGGCTGCCAGGTTGTAGGATCGGTTCCTTTGCGAGTTTGTTCCTTTGCTTTTATCTGCTACATTTCTGAGAAAACTTTATACACGTTATTTCATCAATAGTTACCTAGAATTACCTGCACGAAGAGTTTGGCAGCAGTTGCTGACAAGTTTAGCCACTGCTCCTCGTCAACTTTTCAGGTTAGGTCAAAATTTCAGATTTTGCTGAAAATTTGTTCTATGAGGTAACTTGGCACCCCGATAACGAATATCCGGTTAAATTTGCGCGAAAACTTGTGGCACGCACGCTACGGGCGAAAGAACAGTCATGCGGGAGCAGAGGCTGACTTGTCAGCATCACCACTGAGCTATTGCGCTTCATAACTCCGTCACTCCGTTCGGAAAATGGTTTAGCATATTTGAAAGGCAGATCTGGAATCAGCGTCCCGTAATAACGCGCCATCAGCCGTGGATATCAATCTCATTTCGAACGGGCATTTCTACTAACCATTCATCCCCCTTGTTACTTCGCAGTATTTCCTCTGCCAGCAACCCTCATACCAAGCGTCTCAGTACTCCCCTCTATACTCTATTATCTATCCTCCATATCCTGGTACCTCTGCCTAATATACCTTTACGTTGAAAAATACTGCCTGACCGCTATCGTCTGGGAATAACATGGGAGCCTACTTGATTCATGATAGATTCTTCCAAGCGCATGGTCAGGATTCCACACTAATGCCCCAAGCCTACGTATTTCCCGTGTCTGCTGTTGTGCCTTACAGAGAAACTAGACAAATGTAGTTCTAATCCCTAGACTCTATGACCTTGGGCATTGCCACTCATGGAACCGCACTAACAAAAAACTCTCTCAATTACGAACTCCGTGGCAGGGAACAACAGAAGTTAACCCTCCAATAGCTCCTGTCTTTAGTCAATAAGAATTGCAGCATCTTTCTGAAATCTTTCAAGCATGTCTGCTTCTTAAAATAGTTCTTAATCATAAAGTAACCTTCGAAGGAATAGCAGATTACTGCAAGTATGCATTGTGCTGTAGCTGTCCAGTACCGAGCCGGATCCCCAGGCATCACCCCAAGTGGTGGCATATAGCTCTCCTTCCGTATAATTCTGCTCCAAGAAGTATTGAATAGACCTAAAACCACGGATATAAATTCACGTACTTTAAGCACCACCGTCAGCACATCGCAGCTTACCTGCTCCATCCAGTCGCCAGCGGTGCTTGCGTATGCAGCGCCGCGTCGCCGTTACCGTGCTCATTTCTTATCTAAAATTAAAGGGAAGTGGAATGGGTTGTTCACGTGGCTCACCCAGCGAGCCTGCAATAGCTGCTGCTTGTGATAACCTCGCACATCCAGCTTACTCACTCGTTCAACTGCACGCTTTTTGCCACCGAAACTCCCATTTGGACCGACATCTGGTCGATCGAAGTTGTCACCTTCATAGCTGAAATGACAAAATCAAAAATCATATAAGCAAGAGTCACCTTAACAAAGAAAAATCCCACTTTCACCCTTTCTGGCATTTGGTACGTCGCCATAATATTAAGTCAAGTGGGACCGTGTACAAGAATGGCTTTCAAATAGTACTGCGAAGGTATCGACTACTATCCATACACATTTGTTCCAGATATCCAAGGAATGGCGTATTTTGAGCGCTATTGCGAGATTCGGCCATCATGGTAGCAATGTTTTTCAAACCGATTGACACGTCTCCTTATTGTTAAAAAAGGGCTAACCCTCAAGCGGAGGAGGAAAGACTTCAGGGTGCGTTACGACTCCATTTTCCCCGAAGTTCCTGCTCCAATGCCCCCGTATGTTGCGGTAGCGCCCAATTTTGTCAGCATTACTACTTGGTTCAGGGGCTGAAGTGGAGCCAAGTAACGCTATTTAGCACGCGTGCAGTCCGGGGATTTAAATCCTGGGTCGTGAGTCGCCCGGGCCAACCAAGCCTTCCATCCCTCCGGGGTCGGTTAATTGGTACCAGACTTGTCTGGGAGGATAAAAACACTGACTTGACATCGGCTGGCCCCCGCAAGTCATTGTATAGGCCACATCGCATTCAAACTGCCACTACAATTCCGAATAGATGTAGAATGCGTGGCGCATCTCAAAGCGTGATTGGTCGACGCTGAATATTTTATTCCTTAGAAAAGAGAAGCAAAGAAGCAAATGGAGAGGTTATACTCATGCAATTGCCACAATGCTGTACAAAGTTAAAGTAGTACTAGTGGAAAGGACATGTTAACACCCATTAAAAGGCTGTACCATAAAAATGTCATTGTTCTCGAATCGATCAGGAATTCAAAATAGTGAGAAGTATGTAGACCACAAACTCATTTTCCAAGTTTTCACATCTATTCGTATACCTAGAAAAGCATTCGGCTGCTCTACAACACTACTGTTTGCACCTTCTTTTACACACACGCGCGGTGACTTAAGTTGTATTTCAGGCTAGCGAGACGGGAAATCCAGTCGCTGAGTGCCGCGACAAAGTTTTAAGACCAAATCGCCAAATTCACACCGAACGACACGTCTTGTTGGGCAATGCATCAGCGAAGCTTTCAGAAGCCGGTGCAAACATTGATAGATATTTCCCTAGTGAAAATGGACTTTTGAGTAGAAGCAGATTTGACTAATATTTGTAGGTTGTGCCTCCCATCACGCGAATCTGTGACCTTACCTTCCCTGGCAATTGTGAAATTGATCACGCATTTTTATAGAGCAGAAGAGCACTTTACCGCTTACGCTCCCATAAACATGTCATCCGTTGAAGCAACCCCTGGGACGATATGAGGAAAAAAAGAACGTTGTTTTACTACGAATACAGTGCGTTTGCAAAATCATAGGACACCCCCCAAAAATATGAATATCGCGGCTCATAGAGACCGTCGTTCAACGACTCCTGTGAAATCAGAATTGCCTTCATGAGAAACCTATACTCACAATTTACCAGCTTATCCGACTTGTTTTCCGTACTTTTAGATAAATTTTTTGATTTTGGAGCCGTTGCAAAATCATAGGACACCCCTCAGAATTCTCTTTACTGTGAATTTTTTTTAACCAACCATCAACGGAAGTAGCTCTTATTAAGTGTATGGCAACTCTATTGGAACTGCGGTTTCGAACGATCACCTCCCCTCCGTGAGTGGAAGCCAGACGATGCTTTTACATGCGCCTTATGGCTCTACCACGACCATCGAAGCCATTTCTGGATGTTCAAGGAAAACCGTAGCCTGGTACTCCAAACTCTCACTACGGATAAAAATAAGAGAGTACCAGGATAATCACAAGACCTCCCCGAAAGGATCGGCATATAACCTCGAAGACTACATCGAACAAAATCACCATGCACGCTCAGTTGGTGTCAGCTCTATCGCAAAAAGCGGATGAAGGCGAAATCATCTACCAAAATCATTGGTATGGACAACTAGCGTAGGGCCTTGCTAAGCCTGCTGCCATGCTCATTAGGCGCTGTGACTGAAACATGAGAAGAGAAACTCCAGGTGTGGGACTCGGGATGAGGTAACGCATCCCCATATCTTAGGAAACCGCCACGAGATTTTTGGTGAAGGATTATCGTCGAATCCTGGCCTATTCCTCTAATAATGAACAGCATCATCTGCTTCATTGAAATCAAGTACTTGTATCCAGAAAAGCGGTCTCAGAGAAACAAAATTTTTATTGACCTGAACGGAAGTTTGCTCAACAAAGCGCTGCCTTTGGCCCGGTCTTTCATTGAATTTCTCTTCTCCGCTTTCAGTCACAACGCCTAACGAGCATGGCAGCACGCTTAGCAGGACCCTACGCTAGTTGTCCATATCAATGATTTTGGTAGATGATTTCGCCTTCATCCGCTTTTTGCGATAGAGCTGACACCAACTGAGCGTGCATGGTGATTTTGTTCGATGTAGTCTTCGAAGTTATATGCCGATCCTTTCGGGGAGGTCTTGTGATTATCCTGGTACTCTCTTATTTTTATCCGTAGTGAGAGTTTGGAGTACCAGGCTACGGTTTTCCTTGAACATCCAGAAATGGCTTCGATGGTCGTGGTAGAGCCATAAGGCGCATGTAAAAGCATCGTCTGGCTTCCACTCACGGAGGGGAGGTGATCGTTCGAAACCGCAGTTCCAATAGAGTTGCCATACACTTAATAAGAGCTACTTCCGTTGATGGTTGGTTAAAAAAAATTACAGTAAAGAGAATTCTGAGGGGTGTCCTATGATTTTGCAACGGCTCCAAAATCAAAAAATTTATCTAAAAATACGGAAAACAAATCTGATAAGCTGGCAAACTGTGAGTATAGGTTTTTCATGAAGGCGATTCTGACATTATAGGTTTCGATGAACGACGTTCTCTAGAAGCAGAGATATTCATGTTTTTGGGGGGTGTCCTATGATTTTGCAACGCAAGAGCACAACTTCGTATGGTTCATAAAATGATGTTGAAAATGGACGCTGGAGAAAAAAAAAAGAACGTTGTTATCATAGGATACTGCAATGAAAAGCCTTGCCATCTATCGAGATCGAACGACTTGATAGAACATAAACTGCTTGTGGGCGAGGGTGCTTAACCGTTTGCGACAATGGCACCCATCGGTGGGTGCCACTCTGTCCGTCGAGTGGGACAACGGCTTCAAGCAGTGGGTGCCGCCTTAACCCTTTGACGGCAATGCGGATTTGCACGTAGCGTGCTCGTGGGACCACGCCTCCTTTTTGGCGCGGCAACTCTCACAAAATGGGGCAGAAATCGTCAGGCAATTGTTCCTAAAAGCAGTTTTTCTATTACAATTTTGACTATGACAATAAATAAAATATGACTGCAGTCTTAAGCTTTATGATCATGTATTGTTGGAATTAGAAGTGGAAGTTTGGAAAGAAATCTCGGATTTCAAAGGGATGGTGTTTGAAAACTTTAGAAATTCAAGTGTACAGTAGAATTTTTGATATAGTTCAAACTCCTCTTGTGTCTTAAGACTGTAAAAGACGTAGGGGTCCTGATCTGTAATTCACCTTAAGCTCAATAATGTAAAACACTAATTAATACATCGCCGAGGGCGAAGTGCCATATCCTAAAATTTCGTATAAATTAGCTAGTAACAAACATTTCTGCAAAATATGCTAAACATAGGCGTTACAGAGCTTGCTTATTAATTACTGATATGCTGAAAATGTTTCGAAGGCTAAAAGTCAGGCTCGTGTTTGGGCATTATGGCGCCTGAAATTGAGTGTAGAGATGGGAGGTGGAACGACAGTGAAGAAAAAACGCAAAGAAACCGTCGACAAGACCGAAATCGAAACCCCTTCCCTTCTAGCAGTGAAGGAGGCTTGCTCGGGGGAGAGCCACGTCCAAACGAGTTTTCCGGATATGCCAGCCGTTCCATCGGTTGATACGGCAATCAACCTAGCTGATCTCACACGTTAGGCCAGCCACGCACCAGAGTCAACCCTGCGTTGCGCAGTTCTCAACGGCCACGTTGCGCAGTTTCGCCCGATTAGACACGTTCTCTCGCGCGAACATTCACACTCGCATGCTCGAGCCGTCTGTGTCTCCGCCCATACAGCGTGCGTTGAGGATCTCTCAACGTGCCGTTGCGAACTGCGCAACGTATTAGGTTGTCTCATAAATAGTGTCGCTTTTTTTCAACCAAAAAATTTTCATCTAAATCCCATGCTTTTACATCGTGTCATATACCATTCGAAAGAGAATTGTCTGCTCTACAAGATTGTGTTCTCTTCCACCTCTGTTCCAGGTTTTCAAATTTTAGGCCTGCGAAATGGGAGGTCCAGCCGACAAAAATTGACCAATTTTAAAGGCACAACCCAGGCAGAGGTTTTGTGAACTCTTCTCTTCGGTCAGAAGTATAGAACCCTAGGGGACAATCACAAATGTGGCGTTCACGTGCACGGAATTCGACCGACAAGAACGCTTTGGGCTTGCAAAGTAAGCTGCTCGAGCTGCAGCGAACGAGCTCTCTTATCAGGCTGTTGTCTGGCGCTCTCTCATCTGTGCGCTCTCTCGCCCCATACTCTCCTCTCCGCGCTTAGTCTCTCATTCCTTTAGCACAGCCAATTAGGAAGGTGAGTGAGCCCTCAACCTGAGCGTTTTCGACGGATTCTTTTCCTTTTTTCTTCACTGCCGGCCCACTTGGCACCGATACATTCACATTCGTGTGCAAGAGCCACACCAGTGCGATCCTGGGGCATGCCTTTAAGAAAGAAAACCATTATAAACAAAATAATTAAAATGGTTCGTTTCGCTCCTTCCTCAGACGAACCTTATTATTTCGTCAATCCCCGGAGCTCATCAGTGAGTTGGGATTGGCGAAATAAAGACACAGGGGAAAGACGAATAAACCTTGAGTAGACGTACAAAGAGGAGCATGCAATGAAATTAATTGTATATTGACTAAAGTGAATATAAATTGACAAGTATATGTAAAACTT